GACATCTACTGGATCAAAAAGTTGCACATTCTTCCTTTAACTTATTTATATAACTTTGACTTTATGAGAAATAAAAGCAAAAAAAAAAATGTGTTTGTATATTAATCTAGTTTTTAAAAATGATCATATATTGGATCAATGTAGGCCAAATAGTTATGTGTGCTGAAGGTGCCGTTTTAGGATTCTTAACAGCTTCACATAGTCTGTCAGCTCGGTTCTAAGTGATCTAAGAGACACACACTCGCACAAAGAGACACAAACCCCTCTGGTGACAGAGATGATCGTCAGAGGACGGGGGTCCTTGCATCATGTGAGGAAAACAAACAGAGGGGAATGACAAAGAGGAAGCAGGAGGGTGGAACGTTCAAAAAAAAAAAAAATGATGAGAAATAATGAGAGGACAGAAATAGTTCTGTAGATGCGTTTGTGTGTGTGTGTGTGTGTGTGTGTGTGTGTGTGTGTGTCTGAGGGGACTCCAGCTGTGTGTTTATCCTGCACCAGGGAAGACTGTGTCAAGCCAGCTGAGATGACAGAGCAGACCAGGGCTGTGACACACAACGCAGACGACATCACTCAAAGGTGTGTCTCGTTTTACCCTCTCTGAAGTGTGTGCGCATTTGTGCGTTACCCATGATTCATGCTGAATAGACGCACCACAGCAAATCTGTCTTGAGGAGAGGGAGAGTTTCTGCTATTTCTACCTCGTGCGTTTGCCTGCTCGTGGTGAAAATGTGGCATTAGGCAAAGTCAGCACCCAACTCATTACACCCGTGTGACCTTCTGTGAAATATATACACACACACACACACACACACACACACACACACACACACACACACACACACACACACACACACCTTTTACAGCATGTACTTTGTAGGACTTTACCTCAGAGCTGTGTTACTGTAAACAGACATTTGCAGACATATTAGTAGGCCAGTTCACCTGGAGCATCCTTGGCAGCCGTTTTCTCCACAGGATCAAGAGGTTATGGTTGTTGTGGGACCTGGGTAACCCCCTCCCACCACCACCCCCCCACCCCTCCACCCCCATTGTACGACCCTGGAGCTGCCATCTGGCTTGCTTACATAACAGCAGAGTCTGTGAAATGGTACCGTTAGGGTTATGTAAACTAGCCGAGGATATTTTTTCTCATGTTAGTTAGAGTGGTTTAAATGATTGTGACCTTTCTAAACTTGTTTGGAAGTCATCAAAAAAATCTGAAAATATAAGCAGGAGTTAACGCTCTGGGTTTTTTGAACGTGGGCAGTTCAGTCTCATAAGTATGATTATTGTTTAATAGCTTTTTAAATGCTACTTGTTTGTCAAAATCATCTGAATGGGAGACTCAGTTATTTTATCCTTCAACGTTTTTGTCTAGACCGTTTTAATGAGAAAAACTAATCTCATACATGAATATTTATAAATATAATAATTTAGCTATAAAACACAGCCTTGATCAACACTCAAAGACTTTCACATGTCTTACTTATCTGGTGACCAGGCTAAGCTAATAGTGGCTAATTTAGCAACTTTAGTCTTTATGTTTTTTAGACTTTCTTTCACTTTTTCTGCTGCTACTTAGTTCACTGTTGATGTTTTGAATGTGTGTTAGAGAAGTTAAGGAAACTGTTTGTTATTAATATATATACATATGTTCGTTACCCTGTTTTTGTTTATTTTATTTCAATTAATTGCCATTTTAATTAATTATCTTCTTCAAATTCTATTCATTTTTATTTACACTTGGAGAGAGTTGGTCTGTGTAAGGTGACCCAGCAGGGGGTCTCTGGAAGTCTGAGTACGCCTGTGAGCTGTGACTCCAAACATAATGATCTTGCAATGATAACTTGTGTGAACAAGACAATGATCTTGTGCACATAAGATAATAATGTGTGTGCACAATATATATATTTTTTTTTAACTTTTTGGGACATCAGGGGCTCCATTGTACTGCAGTTTAGAACACACAGGTTTACAAAGTGCTTTGACATACATGCAGCATATACTCTCACCCACCTTTAGATAAGCCCGGGCAAGCTGGATCCTACTCTCCTTGTCTTAATACTTAATGCTATCAACTTGTGCTCACAAGGTATTATCTTGTGCACATCAGATACCATCTAACTTGTGCACACAGGATATTCAGGGGCTCCTTAGTCTACAGATAAAGTTATTATCGTAATTATTGTAAAAAGGTTAGTGCTTGTAGCTGCCTGTTTTTAATGTAATCATCAAACAATCTTTGATGCTCGGCAGTTTGCAGGTTTTGGTTTGTGTTCGGGGGTTTTGCTCCACAGTGTAGGTTCTGTGCTTATATATTAAAGATTTCCTTTCATTCCAAAATGACATTCAGGCAATATGCACTTTATCGTCAGCAGATGAAGGAAATGTAGCTCTATGTGTGGACATAACAATCTCTAAACCCAAATGAAAAACTAACCAAACCACTGTGGGTTAGAAGATGTTTTTGGTCATCGCTTTCAAAGCGAGAAAAGGTAATCAAGTGACATCTCTGCCGTGCAAACTGCACAACACAGACACACCACTCGGTGATCTGTCGTGTTACTTAACCTCTTTGTATACCATTATGACTGTGATCCATGACAGCCAGGTGTTCAGCTAAGAGCTTGGGATGAGGTTAAAGCCCCTCTGTTGGTCTGTCAGCCTGCTAAGCACTCGCTCAGCCTCATTCAACAGGCTGAAACCACGGCCCTGAATAGAACAGTGGTGGACCAATCATAGGCGGGGGAGGGGTGCTTTTGTCCTTCTAATGAACTCGCTGGCTGAAGACGACTGTTATGTAGTTCAAACACACCACCTAGTGTTGATCAAGGACACTTGTGTAGGTGTGCGTGCATCAAACCTGGGATGTGATGCATGATGGGGTTTGGAGGGGAAGCCACGTCTACACGTGATGACAAAAAAAACATGGTAAAAAGAAAAGCAGGATTTTTGTTATGTACCTGTGTCAGACCAAGCTCTGTTTAATAAACCACTTTTAAACACCTTCAGATCAGCTGTGCTATTATCTGAAGTTTTAAATAAATTACTGATTATTTGCCTCTTTAATTTTTCATTTAAAAAACGACATTTAAAGTATTTAATTCAGCTTATTCTGAAGTCATGCCATGGGACAGATTTAATTTATGATGCTTCCACACCAACACCAGAAATACAAATAAATATTGAAATATCAAACTCTTTTGAATTTGATGGTAAAAGTTCACTATGATCCCTCCAAAAGCATGTTTAGCTTGCTATGACACCATTTCACACAAGAGGGACTAAATCTGTTTTCATGCGCAAAAAAAATGCTCTGAAAAATCTTCTGACATTTTCGGGTTGAGCTGCATGTGTGAATGCACACAGCCAATTTTTGCCACACGACTTTCCACTGACTTGTTTCCCTGCCAGATCCCCAGCTCATGGTGAGCCGATGTGCGTAAGCAGCAACAAATATTCATGAAAAATGAGCAAGTGAGAGAGTGGGCTGGTGTGATGATGTTTATATCACATACTTGTGCACATTGTGAAGCTGCTTCATACTTTCTCCAGGATGTTCTTTTTCACTTGTTTGTTGCAACAACCCCCCCTCCCCCTCCCCTTACACTTTTAAAGCTTTTTCAGGAGTGCATGTGTCAATACAGCTCAATAATACAAAATTACGATTTTCTTGCTCAGAAATATCGAAGATCAACTTCATTGTGTCAATATGACGTCCTGAAAAAAATACTTTTCTAGCCATCGTGTTCCTGTGAACATTTCAGCAGCCTCTGAAGGTAATATCTGGACATTTGGCACACATGCTACTTTGACACAAGGTATAACTGATTACATTTGGGGGGGTCAAACATTAAAAGGTCAAGGTCACCTGGACCTCATCTTGGTCCCACTCTAAAGGACTTGACAATTCAGCAAAGCTCAGAGGGAATTCTCATGCAACTGGTTTCCATTTTCTCATCCAGCTGACAGAATGTTTTCTACCCCTCACATAAGTTCATGCCCAGTCCACTGTTCCTAGAAGGGTCTTGTGGCGATCACATGCTATGCAGAGACACACAGAGAGAGAGAGAGAGGGAGAGCGAGAGAGAGAGGAGGACATTCTCTCATTTTATGTCCCTCCTGTCAATGATTGATTCGGGACATTTCCTGTTTAGTTGAATGCTTTCTTGTAATTGTTTTTTCAACACTGTGGGATTGTACTGTACTGATTGATGGAGGTAAATAACTCTGAGTAAATCTAGTTAGTGTTTTCTTTGTAAATGAATAGCATTTGAAATCAGTCTGAAAAAAATCACAATGTGACTCTTGTTCACGCTGCAGCTGTAGCACTGAGAAAATTCAGTTTGACTTGGATTGATTGTACTTGTGGTTTGGCCAGGGTTTTAAAGGACACATATTATCCTCCTTTTCAACAACTTTAAATAATTCTCAGAGCTCCCCAAAACATGTCTGTGAAGTTTCTTTATAAAAATCCACTCTGATCCTGTTTCTGATCATGCCTATAAACCTCACCTATTTCAGCCCTGCTCAGAACAGGCTGTTTCTGTGTCTGTAGCTTTAAATGTAAATGAGCTGTGTCTGACCACACCGCCTCTCTGAAAAGGCTTGAGTGGCTCTGTGTTTCTCGCTCCATGTTCTATTGTTTACGGTGAGAAGACAGACTCAGAGGGCAGAACAAACAGCTAGCTGTGGGAGTGTCACCCTCCTGGGGGAGGGGCTACTGCCCTTTGTGGTGTCATGAAGGGAGAATCTCCAAACAGCCTGTTTGAGGACACACATTTATGAAAAATGGAGAAGATGAAAGATGGAGAAGATGGACTTTTATCATAATTGGGGAGTTTATAGACAGACTAGGGACACATATTAGTGAAACATGGTAAAGAATATTTTGTATAAAATGTGACCTTAAAATGGTAATCTTGTTTACTGTGGTTCTACAATATTGAAAATCAAGCTGTGATAAAGATAAATAAACATTGACAAGCAGACAAAAGTGTCCCACAAAAATTGCTTTAATTTCCTGTTAAAAATAAGGCTAGAGATGCAGCAGAAGTACAAGATGCTGTTTGTACTTCTCGCTTGAACAGAGGAAGTCTTTGCCAAGTTAATGACATTTCTGCAGATAAGAGGGGATGACGGGGACCTGTGGAGGAGGATGAGACTCCATCATGCTGTGGTGGGATGAAGTCGCTCACTGCACTCAGAACTCCTACATTATTATAAAACTGATTAATTCAGGCTGTGGACAGGCTGCAGAGTTAACAGGTCTGAAGCCCCCTCCCCTCACAGACATTGTGCATAGCTGAGTCAGGTTATCCTTTACAAAACAAATTCATTATAATGCAACAGCAGTTAACTGTTGTCAAATCTTTAAACCCAAGCCATTTTCATGTTTCATACATAATTCATCATATATATAATTCATATTCAATGTACAAAGTTACATTCTGAATTGCAAAGGCTCAATCGTTGGAAATAAATACTGTAATGGCTAAACTGCAACGATATTTCACTCCTCTCTTGGAGAGAAGACAGACACATACACACACGTGCACACATACACACATGATGAGGAAATGCCTCCTCTGACACTGTTCAATACAAAGAGGACAAAAACATACCAGTGCAGTGTACTGGTACAGAGGCCAGAAACACACTTTCATGTTGCAAACAGTTCGAACATTTTGTGCACTCTAAAGACATCAGAATGAAAAAAAGTTCATAAAAAATAGACTTAAAACTATTCTTCTGAAAAATCAGATCGCAAATCAGGAGGAGATATTGTCAAATAAACTTCATTCTGTACAAACGGGGCAGCAAGAAGCAGCGCTGCAAAACCGAAAATGTCAAAGTTACAATTGTGACCTCTAAATGTCAAGAGGAGGATTAGAGGGGGCGGGGTTTATGCAACCCTCAGAGTGGCTTTCTTTTTTATAATCTTCTCATAGAAACAGGTCCTGCACTTTCTCTTCTCTCGCTCCATGAAAAATATTTTCATGTCCTAATATGAAAGTTTAAAAATATATCTTATCTTTACACGAGGATTTCTTTTACAAAAGCTTGTTTTCCTATCTACATGCAGGCAGACTCAAACATGCTGCTCTTAAAGTGCCATTCCAGAGGAGACACTGGTAAAGTGTTTCAGCACGTGCCAAACTATCGGTCTTTATCCTTTGGTAACAAACACATTCTTCTGAGGAAAAATAAATACTTTTTCACACTTGAGATAGTCAGATAGTCCTTCCAACCCCTGATACATAAGGCAGATTTTTTTTTTTTTTGAGTGTCTACAAGCAGGAGCTGCTGAGCAAACTAAGAGCAGAGGATGGACAGAAGACAGGAACCTTAAATGATATTTCATTAAATAGTCTGTTGTCTGTCAGTCTTTCAGCACTGGGACCAAAGATAACTCAATGGAAAATAGGGTTTACATTATAGTTCTAAATAAAGAAGGCGCTGCTGCTTCTAATGTTATATTTGATGTTCGTGAACATATTCTTGAGTTCTTTAGCCCACAGTTTGTGCCTCTGATGTATTATCATTATGTTCAACACGGTCACACATCTTATTTAATGAAAGATAATTACCTGCTCATCTTTGAACACAAGTCTACTGTCACGCTCTCCACTCTTATATACTTAGCTTTAAGCTAAATTCTAAGGTCAGCATGCTACCATGTTCACAACAACAGCGCCAACATTTTGATGTTCAACATGTATAATGTAAACATCTGCTCATTAGGAATAATAAAGCACAGATGAAGCTGGTGGTAATGTCGTAGTTTAGCTGGTAAAGTGTTGGACTAAGTGATATTTTGACCTGACAATTAGAGCTCGACGATTAATCGGCACGGTTGATATTAGCATATCCAGTGACTATCGGTATCGGCTAATTTTATCAAAGATATGCACCGATTCTACATTTCTTCACCAGTAAAATAGAATTTAATTTTGAGTTTCAATGGACTAGTGGTTCTCTTTCACCAGCAGAGGGCGCTATATGGATTACAAACATCATCACTCTCCAGAGTGTCAAGCAGTGTGCACATACATGAACAGTTACTTTCCAGTTGAGTGATCATCTTAGTTATGTTATTTATCTTTTCAACAAGTTTTTGATAACTGCACATAACGGATCAACACAACAAATGAGTTTATATATATATATATCTATCTCTAAAGATCGAACATAGATCTAAGAAAGATATCGGCCAATATATCAGTATTGGATTATGTATTCCTCCCCAATATCAATATCGGTATCTGCACCAAAAATTGCTTATCGGTCAGGACCTACTGACATGATTTCATGATTTAAGTCTGCACACAAGAGGTGGACTGAGTTACAGATGCTGACACTGACAGCCATGCTAATAGTCAGCCTAAAGACCATGACTGTAAGTTAATGCATTAACACAGATAGAATATTTCTGCATCAGGATGGTCAGAAGTGTCTTCAAAGATTCTGGGAAAAGCTTCAGATCAGTGCAATCATATCAAATAATCCTTTGTGATTTTTCAAAACACTGCAAAGCAGATATTCTGTTTCTGGAATTGAACTGGTTACATACACATAAGAGGCATAAACTGGGAATATTTCTGTCATCTTGTACATTTAGATACGTTTTGTGCCATCCTCTGCGCCAACGGGTGCTACCTATAAATCTGATGTACTGCACTGGACTTAAATCAAATCCGGACCTAAAGTAGAGACAACCGGCAATCTATTAAATATATATTACATACAATCAAAAGCCAAGTTCTCAAATGAACTAAAACAACATGAAACATTATTAAGAGTAAAACCTGACTGGCTCCCAGACATGACTGCCCCACTTTGACTTGACTTAAAGGGCAACATGGAGCTCACGAATGATTATTTCATGTTTTGACCAGCTGATTCAGAATTAAGTCAAGTCCAGTATGAGCATGCATCGAATTGACTGAAGGGAACCTGAAGATGTCAGGAGGAAAATTCATTCTGTGCTGAACAAAATGAAAAAACGAAATTTCTGTTTTCATAAGAACTTAAATAATATTAAAAGGAGATAGAAGTGTTATGACAGGGTGAAATCATGAAGTAAAAAACAAACAAAACATAAGACAAAACAAGTCAAAATAAATCCATATCATGCAGTTTTTGTGTCTTTCTGTTTGCACTGCACCAGTCCATTTTAGGACTGATAGCTCTGAGAGAAGCTTTTGCTTGTTTCTTTTTTGTTCAGGTTTGAGGGAGAAAAAAAGTGCTGATTAAACTCGTGCCAGCAGAGCAGAGTCGTCCACATGAACTCATCCCTCCACAGCAAGAGAAAAAGGCAAATCAGGCCTCAGGGGTCTGGGGTCAGAGTTCAGCCCTCGCTGGCCATGATCTGCCAGACGATGAGGTGGCTGCGCTCGGCTTTAGCCAGGGAGGGCTGCAGTTTCATGCGGGGGGCATCTCCGTCCTCCGCCTCGCCATCCTCATCACCTAAAGACAAACAGACATCACGTTGGTCTCCACACCTGCTGGAGGGTAGTTAGCGGGGTGTTTTCCTCAGTTACATGTATTAAACATACCCATCCTGAAGTCGATGTAGCCTTCTCCTCCGCTCATTACCAACACAGACTTGGTTTCTTCCTGAGTTGCGGCATCTGTCGCTTTGTCACCAACTGTTTCCCCTCCACAGGACGCAGATGGGAGTGCATGACCTGAGAGCACAGAGCCACAAACTGTAAAGAACAACAAACAAGTCCAGATTGTATTTTTCTAGTGAAGACTTTCTGAGCGTAATACTGTATTGGAATGAGATCCCTGCTCTATGGTCCATTAGTTCTAAAGAGTTATTAAATAATCTGATATGCCAACAGGTCATTATAATTAATACACACCCAGGGCCTACTGATAAGAGGAGTCTCATTTGCCACTACTCAACAATAATTCCCTTCCTATATTAGTGATTGGGAGGAAAAAGTACAACAAAAAGTACAACTCGTGTTCAACAGAAAGTACAAAGATTTGTTTAAAGGGGACATAATGTAAAAAACCCACTTGTACAGTGTTTTTGAACATATATTTGGGTAACCTGAGTGTCTACTGACCCACAAAATAAGAAATGAACCCATCCAGTCCTTTGTTTGTAGTCTGCATAAGTCTTTCCGTTTCAAATTTGCTCTCCTTGTGATGTCACAGTGGGATTCTGGTAAAAAAAACAACAAATACCATCCCCTTCTCCCTGGTATCTCCACCTATGGACTCCACCCCCAGCTTACAGCAAAACTTTTGCGCAGTTCCACCATTTTTATTCTCGCTACAGAGGAGTGATGTCTACCAGGAAAACTCAGGGGGGGGGGGCGCATTTAAAGAGACACACACACAAAAACAGAGCATTCTGAGAGAGCTGGTTTATACAGGGTCACAAACCTCCTCTGGTGCTTGATTCATGTTATATTTTGACCAAAGCACAGATTTTGTATTTAGACCACAGGGGACTGTTTTAAAAGGTAGAAAAAGGGGTATAACATGCCCCTCTTTAAATTGGAAATGGTACATTTCTAAATGCACACCTAGGTCACACCTACCAGATTCACACCCATTCACACTGAGGCTGCCTTGTAAAGTGCCCATCAGCATTAACTAATCCAGTTGTACACATTCATCACCGTCTTCAGCCCTTCGATAGGCATCTCCACAACTTTATTTGTGGCTACCAGCATGTGTTTCTGTGTCTGCAGGACGCTGCACTCAGGCCCTTTTATGGGCATTAGTGGGCGGGAATCTACAGGAACGCACTTTAACGAACACAAGGAGATGAGAACACAGCTGCTAACAATTCAGTCCTTTAAGAACGGGGAGTCTTCTTGGAAATCTTCTGAAGTACAACTTAGAAAAAACCTAAGAACAATTTTGAGAAGATATCACTGAATGAGGCCCAGTGTTTCTCTGATGCTCTTCTACAACTTTGGGCTTAGTTTTTCACACAGACTGAAGTTCTTTCATACTGAAGTCAAATCAAATTGGTCTCGCTGAGTCGGGCATAGATGTTATAGAGACATTGTAGTCCTAGACTTGTAAATGACTTGTGAATAAAAAGGGACAACTGAGCATCCAGCCTGGCTTTCTTTTTACCTGGGACAGCAGTGAAGAACTTGACGGCATCTCTGTGACCATGGAAACAGAGCTGAGCGTGAGCCATGGAGCAGTAAGGAACGAACGTCCCAGCTGTCACTTTGTCAGTCGTGTCGTCACCATAGACACGAACTACACTTCCCGGTTGGTTTCCTGCTGCCTGGGTTGTCTTGTTCGCTGCAAATGGAAATGAGTAAGTTTGAGAAAAGAGAGGAACAGGCGTGGAAGAGTCGGACCATAATTCACAGTTATGGTGTTTGAAGCACTTTGAAGAGCATAGCGTGAAAAATAAATCAGGGTAGCTCCTACACTCACTGTCTGTCAGGGGGATGGAGATGATGACACCATTCCCAGTGCCGATCCACAGACGATTAGATGACACCATTAGAGCTGTAATCCTCACAAATGAAAAGCCCAGTTTCCCCGTACCTGAGAACAAAAGTATAAAGAACATGTTCAAAAAACTAAATCTGAGATAATGAACAACAGTCTGTCAGCTCCTGATGAGTATCTTTGTGTTTAGTAAAGGATAGATAACACTGAAAGAGTCAACAGACCGAGCATCTTGCTGACGTAGGGCTCGATGTCGACGTCCTGAAGGTGCTGGAAGGTGTGAGCGTGGAACAGCCTGAGAGTGGAGTCCAGTCTGATGGAAACCCAGATACCGTCCCCGTCCCAGGCCAGCTGACGTACCTGACTTTCCTTACGAGGGTGGGCATCAAATGATTTCTGAGAAGAAGCAGATATGACAAATTTTAAGACAACAAGCAGAGATTTCTGATTTCATTGACTAAAAAAAGAAAGTAGTGGGATTTTGATCTGATTGTTTGTGGTTAAGGGGGGTGAAGAAGGTGCCTGATACGAATCCCTGTTGGACGGGGCCTGACTGCATGGAGCTTGCATGTTCTCCCTGTGCATGCCTGGGTTCCCTCCAGGTACACCGGTTTCCTCCCACAGTCACTAGGTTAATTGTAAATTGGCTCTAATTTGCCCGTAGGTGTGGATGTAAGTGTGCCTGGCTCTGTGTCTGTACGTCCACCCTGTGATTGATTGGCAATCAGTCAAGGGAGTACCCTGCCGCTCGCCTAATATCGACTGTGATTGGCTCCAGCCCCCCTGCGACACCGAACGGGATAAGCGGTATAGATAACGGATGGACTGTGATTTAAAGGAGTTTTGTAAACGGCAGGTGTGGATCTATGTTTTCTCGCCCTGCTGAACTCTGCATTGAACGCACTAATGTGCACAAGAAGAATTGAGCCAAAATCCACTTTTAAATTTACCTCTATCTTCATTGCTTTGGGCTGAACCACGTAGATCTTGTTCCTGTAGCCGCACCACACCTTGTCATGCACTACAGTCATGCAGCGGATGGAGTGGTGAGGTCTGCCCAGGTCTAACAGGTGGTAGTTAGTCAGGTCCCACTGTCCATCTGATCAAAACAAAGAAAACAAAGACAAGAAATACATTTACAGATCAGGTTGATTTGACTTGTTTTATGTGAACAGAACACAACGTAAGTCCTCACCCTCTCCTCTGTGGAAGATTGCTAAAGTGCCGTCAGAGAGGCCGACCAGCACGCGCCCTTTCACGTGTCTGTTGGAAACAAATGAATGTATTCAAACATCAAAGCACGAAGCAACACGAGAGTGAGATTGAAGTTATGTATAAATCATTCTATGTACTTACACTATACCCAGCACAGAGTCCTTCAGCTTTATAGAGTGCAGGCACTTCTTCCACTGAGCAACAGACGAGTGGACGTACACACTAGAATCACAGCAGGTTTTCCTCAATCATCTGAATTACTTGAACACTGTCCATACATCTCAGTATTGCAGGGCAGAAGAAACACATGACACTCACCATCCGTTCTGTGCACCCAGCCACATCGTGGGCTGAACGCTGCTCATTTTCTGAGCCTCTTCTCTCATCAGGTCCTGCTCCTCCGCACTGGGGTTTGAACTCACTCCGTCTTTCAGCAGGTCGCTCTCTCTGGTCAGCAGTGACAACAAGGATTATTATTACAGCTACTGTTTGTACCACTGTTACAATTCTCCGTTAACAACACACCTCCAGTCAGTGGTAATAACGAGAGATTGTTTCTTTTAGTCATTATCCTTTTCAATAAGTGAACAAATTAAATTCAACCAGCTAGAGTCTTTATTCTTTGTTTATTAGAAAGGTAAGTCTGCAGTCCTACACATCATACTTGTTTTGTTTTTGATGGCCTTTTGTCACTTTAGGGATTTGAATCTGATTAAAAGAATAATTACTTAGAGTAACTTTTGAGTGTTTTTGTTGCATTACCTAGCGGAACAGTCATAACATTTCACTGCACATCTGTATGAGCATGTGACAAATAAAAATCATGAATCTTGAAAAAGCCTGAGCAGCAGGGAGTGACTGCAATATGGGCGAAGGACATCATGGTTTGTATCCTGTAATTCTTTAATGTGATTAAAAAGATGATGCAAACTCCATGTCTGTATACAACAGCTTACGTAGGTTACATAACTGAATGTTGTACAGATTTGACGGATATGGGGCACTACTTACTTAAATCAGGAGGCCTTTTTTAATAAGCTAATTTGAATAAAAAATCTCAAATACAGGAAAAATGCACAATTTAAATGAAAGAAATGAGAAAGATGTTGTCCATTTTTCTACATACATTTTGGTTTGGCTCATTATTTTGTGGGTGTTCATTTTCAGAAAAGAATGTCTAAATGTTTAAATTAAAGAATTGTAGTGCTCCTGTCATCGTTTGTGGTTTATTTACTTACACAACTCTTTACTGTTGCTTAGGTTTTACAGATTCCAGGGATATGAAGCAGCAGTAACTTTGCTAAATGTTGCTTAGTGCTATGCTCATGAGGGATTAATGATGGATGGGTTTTTTATAACATAAGAATGAGAAAGGTCTTTTTACCTGCTCTTTTGATAAGTGTCTTATGATAATATTTGTTATGAATTGGCGCTATACAAATAAAGATTGAGTTGAAAATACTCTGTCAGGAGTTGTTACATTGTGTTTTCACTTGTTCCAAAGACTTTAATAGCCTGCAGAACACATTAGTCCATCGATGTAACAGGGTTTAATGTATTGTAATTAAGATTTACAAACCAACAAACATCAGCATGACTTTCATGACCTGACGATAAACAGTGTTACAGCGACTTGATGCTGTTGCTTAGTGTGTTTTTTTTATGGGTTGCTCTAATAAAATGGGCCGCTTTATTGAACCGGCTGTAGAGTAACGACATGGTGCTGGATAATGGGCCTCATGATGTTACCTCTGAGAGTAGTTGGCTGGAGCTTCTGCTGTCAGCTGAGCTCCGAGAGGGTCGGTGAAGACGTGCTCTGTGTAGACTCCCCTCAGGCTCTCTCTTTGGTCTGCACAGCCTGAACTGGCCTCTGTCGCCTCGGTGGCTTCCTCTGCTGTTTTGGATTCTGTAGAAGGAATCATCTATCAGTTAAATGGGCCAGAACATAAATGTAGGTAACAATGGATTCTGACCGTTTTGCTTGTTTCTAGTTAAGATATCAAATGTTGTGAATAAGAAGTGTGGTCATGTTCTGATGTATCCTTCTATTAAACTTCTCTTAGGTTCTGTAAATGTGACAGTTATCACATACGTTACCTTTCCTCGTCAATGATTTGATTGATCCAACAAACTGTTCAGTATTTATCAAGCTTTGAAATGTTGAAAAATGGCTCAAAGTTCTGAAGAGTGGCAGATGTTCGGTCCTGCTTTTAGACTGTGTAATAAAATCATAAAAAAAGACCAGAAACTTTCTGCACTTATGACTACTCAGACCTTTCTCTGCTGATGTTCAGGAAAGATCCACAGATTTTGACCAGCAGATGGCAGTCATGCACACATATTCTGTAGGAGAAGCTGTGTTCATTGCTGACAATGACTTTGTCAAAATAAAATAATACTTAAAATAAAAATAAGGAGCCTCTCTAAACCTGTTAGCAGTTAGCAAAATGTCTCACTGAATCCAACTTTTTCAGCAGTAATATCTTAAATTTAGATATTATTTTTTTAGGTAAGAATAAATAATTAATACAAAATTGTGTTATTTCCAGCATAAATATGTATGTTCATGATTTTTGGAGACTTAGAAGCTTAATGAAGTTCTTGATGAATTGGATCAGATTATTTAGTGAAGTCCTCAGTTTGTTTACATCTTATCTTAAAGGTACAGATAATGTTACTTCCATTACAGACTGTACATTTGAGCAGCAGATCCCCGTGACATACAGAATGTGTTTTAGCTGCACAGACAGAACTACTGCAACTCCATAATGATCTCAGAAGCCCCTTTAAAATAAGTTTAAAACTCTTTCTTTGATTGTCATAAACTGCTTTCAGGGGAACAGCTATGTCCTTATGCTGGACTATGGACAGCGTATGTTATATAACAGCAGAATATTTAAACAATCTTTTCACTTTTGATAGATCGGATTTTTTTTAAATGTAATCCTAAAGATTTGTATTTCTTATGTGAAGCATTTAGTATAGTTATAAATCTGCTGTGAGCTGATTTGCTTTCAATTTTAACCTGCGACTATTAAAGCCGTAATATATAATGCTTAAGGTAGTGTGTTGTAGTTTTCTTAGTGTCATAAAACAGCACTATCTTCTTCAGCGCGGTAAGCATAACTAAGTAGAGGGTGTTATTAATATACCCCTCATGCAAGCAGTGTTTTTTTTAGGCCCAGGGTTAGGGTTATCTCTGAATGCATGCTAGTGTTGAGTGAAATGGAATAAAAGGATAACTATCTCTATCCAGTTTCTTTATCTTTTACCTGGACTGTCTGCAGTCTGAGGAACAGCTGATGCCCCCTCAGTGTCACAGCCAACCACAGTGATGCCTCCCAGCACGTCGTCTGCTCCTGCTGAGATGCTATTGGTCGATTGTGAGCTGCCTTCTCCTGCTGGTTCTGCCTCAGAGTCTGGAGGTACTTCCTCACCAGCAGGGTAGTCTGTCTCTCTTGCTCCTAAATGAAATCACACACAGAAGTTTAAGGAGACGTGGACATGAAAAGATTATTTGCTTGCAAAGAGATGTCAATAAAAACTCTCTCTTCCTACATGTGGACTCTGATACCCATATTAATGTGCTGACCTGGTACACTGGCGATGCAGAGGACGTGGGAGTTGCATACAAAAAAGCTCTCCAGAATGTGTCCAGGCTGGTTTGCATCGATCACAACAGCTTTAGTTGTGGACTGGGTGCTGGTGCAGATCCAAACCAGCGACGACAACTCTTCCTGCTGACGCAACTCCTTCTGCTGCTCCTGCAACAGCAAAGGAAAATAAAACATTGTGCATGTAGCTTTAAGTACTGTATCATCATCTTTTATCACCATGAGTGTCTGGGATACTGAAAGAATAATCTGCGTGTGTGTACCTTGAGTTCATGATCTAGTTTGTCCAGGCTGCTCTGAGATCCTATTTTCTTTTTAGGGCTCTCTGGTCCGGGCACATCACTGTAAAACACGCTGGCTCCCACGATAGAACCTCCGTCTCTGGTTTTCCCTCCAGAGAGGTTCACACCAGCAGCACACCACAGCTGAAGCACAGACACACAGACAAACAGAGATATTCAGGATATATTTTATCTACCACAAGGTCCCTACTGTATTTCAAAATAAAACAACAAGTAAAGTACTATCAGATTAGTACCAAATAAAATACTTTATAATTTGTGACTATTTCACAGACTTCATCCAGACAGGTTGTATTAAACTACTTTGACAAATCTACAACAGCTATCCAGAGAGACGTTACAGAGCAGAAACACGCCTTAAATTTAGAAGATTTAAGGCTAATATCTATATTTGTATGTGTTTATGCAGCTGGAGTAAATACCTTCATAGAAGCATCTTTCTCATCCAGAGGTCGGAGGAAGACAGGAACAGGTAGATTCTTCATCTTACCCTCAGCCTGACCACCATTAGTCTGAAAACAAAAATACACAACACAACCATTAGTTTCAGTAAAGAACACCTTACTATAGATCTACCATCAACTAAGAGGAGCAGACAATCCATAGTTAATAAAAAGGAAAAATACAGGAGCTGATTCAGGTTTGAGTCATTTTCATACTTTGTATTTTTTAGGGAGACTCCAGCCGTAAGCCTGAACTCTGCCGTCCTCCTTCTGCACGTGGGCTTTGACCTGCTGGTACTGAGCTCTCTTCTGCTCTCGCCTGGACACCACATTGTCTGCCGCCACTCTATGGAACACAAAAACAGCTCACTGTAAAGGTTGATTTTATTGGAAGGCTGGGTTTCCCCAAACAACATAGAAGAAACTCATAGTTGCGGTCAGCAATTTCATTTAAGTTGTCAAAAGATATGTTCAAAAATGCGGCCTGTCACACCACTTCTACATTTCAGCGGTTCAGAAAAAGATTGTTTTGCTGTTCTGAAGTTCTCATTAGTACATCTAACTAGTGATACAGTCTACAGTAAATAGCGGGGAAATTTCAGTGACTCCCAGCTGGACATTCTGCAGTTTAATGTGACGTTTCTCTTTAGTTAAAAACAGACATCAAAGAAGACATCATTGTGCTGTTTTATCTTTGAATAAGTATATCTTAAGTTAAGACTGTAAACAGATCCTCAGCCCGAGGAGGAAACAAAATCATGTGTTAAAAGTGTCTCGGACTGACTCACTCCTCATTGAGGAAATCGAAGGCTTTGCTCTTGTCACTGGGCAGCTGCTGCAGAGTGCTGCTCCTCTTCTTGACGGACGGCTGAATCTGAGAGGTCGGTGCGTTGTACTTGACGTTCACTGGGGCTTCCACCGCTGGCTTCTTGGCTGCCGTGCCCGACGAGCTAAACAAACGGCTGAAACTGGAGGTGTAAGGGCGGGGAAGTGGGAAGGGCAAGAGGGGGAGAAAGCACACAAACAAACATATAGTGGGGTGGACACAAGCAGTAGCTCCGGCAGCAGAGGTTGGGTCAAACGATTAAGGACACCAAACTGTCCCATGCTTACACACCATACCAGCTTTCACACGGGTAGCAATCAGAGACTGAAATACACATTCCTGTTAACTTGTAAAGACCCGACTGGCAGTTTGAATGCTGGAGAGCAGGGAGTGCAGGGTTAATGTGGTGCACCGACTGGGACGTTAGTCAACAACACGCAGCAAAACAGGCCTGGACAATAACACTTTTTGTTTCCCCACTAAGTCTAAAGTAGCACACAAGATTTAACATACCTACTGGTATGTATGGTACAGCTGACAGTCATTAAGTCTGTTTCCAACTAACCAGCTAGAGGAAGAATATGCAACATTTTATACATAAATACAGCAGAAATCAAGTATACCTCTGTACATGTCTCTTGAGTCATGACTGTCTACAATGAGTGAGAAGCTTGAGTCTCGCTGGCTGTGTTGTTGTCAGAGCCGTGTTTACATCATGTTTACATGGACGGGACGGCCTTGTGCATAAAGCTGTTTTAGTAAAGGACTAGAGAAAAGAAGAATAACAAACTCACTGATTATTTGGATGTCACGTAAGTGTGTTAATATTAACGGTCATTTCATGTCAATATATGTGCAATATGAAGCTCCAAGTTAACCAAAGTGTGCTAAGATTAGCATGCTAACACAACAATGCAGGACACAGGCGATTACAGCTCGAGCAAATGACACTTTTGTCCACCGCTTGCGCTTAATGGTGCTTAATTATAATGAGTTCTAATTCATAACTCCTTCATGTAACTCCAAACAGCCAAACAGCAGTTTGTTTTGGTTTCATGCTGGTGCTCAAGAGCGACGTCTACTGGATCAAAAAGTTGCACATTCTTCCTTTAATAGTGGACAGTATAACTTTTTTTTAAAGATAATTGAGTGTAGCCACATAAGCACATTTGCTTTGTTTAGACCGAGACACTCCACCCTTATCCTGCCTCCCTCCCTCCCTCCCTCCCTCCCTCCCTAAAGAAATCCTCTCAACACACCTCCTGCACACAGACATCACAACATCAGGCACAGTGAAGAGGGACAAACAGAAACAGGGCAGGAGAGATGTTGGATTGATCAGATTGTGTTTCCATTTTACAAACAACTGTCCCAAACCCATGGCTATAAACCTGCTCCAAGTTATCCCTCAATGTATAATCACACTCATTCCTTATGACACTCAACAAAGGAGAGCCTGGATCATGTTTAGTTTGTCTGTGAGCTAACAGGTGCATTCTCAGCTCTCACTTAAGATCCTATCATGACTCAATTGTTTCATAAAGATTTAAAGACAGTTGTGAAAGTAAAGCAGTTCAGATCTGAGATCAGAGTCTTTGTTTACTGGCTCGCTCTCCTCTGTTAAGAGTTTGTTGTCAAGATGAAAACATTGAAAAACCGAGTCACCATGTTAACGATTTACCTACATCCTGGAGAATAAATAAAAACATACAACATGGAATACAAAAGAAAAGCAAGATGAAACATAGAAAACAAAGACATCACGCTGCGGTTGGTATTTCAGAGATGAAGTGAAAAGAAAAGCGGGGCTTACAACTGCCAGAGGCTGGATTTCTTCTTCTCTGGAAGAGACGGGTTCTCCTTTGAAGCCCTGAGAGAGACAGTTCACTTTGAATCAAACTGAAAGCTTCGGATAAGAGATGACAGTTAAGATGTAAAAAAAGTGAATTACCAGTCGTTTGTCATCACTACTGTTAGTGGAACATTATGCAGCTGTGATATGAGACCACTATTGAATTATGTGATCGTTAAAGTATCGTCAAGTTAGGCCAGCTAACCGCTAATGAGATAACAAAGTCAATCTGAGCATTATTCAATCATGTTCACTTATTTAACCTTTGACCTCTGCAACATGGTAATGCAGGGGTTAGGATCACTCCCTCCTCCACACACAGGGTCAAAAAGGCTTTTGTGACTAGGACTCTTTCCTCGTCACATATTGGCTGCAGCCTTTCAGACATACAGAAGTGAATGGCACAGTTTCTGCAGATGTCTGTTCATCATGAGTTTGGTTTTGCCAATGATTTCTGCCTCTTAAAGAAAAGTTATTTCTTGCCACTGTAACTTTGCTAAATGTTGCTCAATGCTCATGATGGATTAACACTGGGTCTTTGTAATATAGCAAAGAGTAAGGTCTTTTAACCTGTTATTTTGTAAAGTGCCTTGACATAATACTTGATATGAATTGGGGCTATTCAAATAAAGATAGATTGATTGATTGGCAAGCATAGATAAATTTGAGCTGAGATACAGATGTGCAGATTGTTTTGTTTAGTGTTTATTCAAATGGATAGAGTACTGTACATTTAGCCTTTTTATGAATTATTTGATCTTTCATCATTTTGTCTTTGATATTTTCATACAAATACAATAGTTATCATGTGCTAAAAAGGATGTGTACAGGAACAGGCAACCTGTTTGTCATTCAACCCTGCTCTCAGCCAACTTTGTATGTGACTGGGATCTGCGTCAGTGCTCTGCTGCCCTCTAAGGACACGCATCATTATAACTGATGCAGTCCTATATTGTTTATGCAGACCTAAAGATTGGCTTATAGAAAATAATCACTCATCAAAATGGAAGAAAAATGTTCTCTAACAAACATTTTCAACTGGTTGAGCATTGCTTTAAGTCCACTGCCTCTGGCCTCACCTGATCATCTCTGTCCACCTGACAGCCTCCTGCAGCTCCATCAGCCTCTCCTTATACTGGTTCCTCTCCATTAGCACCCTGGCCATCTCCACCCTGGTGAAGCGCTTCCTCTGCGCTGTGGGCACATCACTCTGCAGGTACAAAACCAAAACGTGTAAATCAGAAGATCATTATGATGGACTCGCTTTTTAATAAACACACTTAAAGCTTTACCAGGCTTTACTGGAATCAAGCAGCATTTACATTGTAATAATTGAAAATATTAAAATTACTTCAACATTTAGGTAGCCTACCTCAATAACCTATATCATTTTTATCAAAAACGATGTATGACACAGTGAGAAACACAAGGACTCACATCATCCTCATTGTCGTTCTTGACCTTATGTTTGGCTTCTTCAAGCTCTGCTCGAATCCTGCAAGCAGGGAAACACATTTGAGGTCTTCAGCATGCATCTTTTTACAGTATGAACTCCAATGTATGATGATGAACAAGACGGCAGTGCACATCAACTCACTTCTTGAGTTCTTCTTCTAACTCTTTGTTCTTCTCTTCTAGTTTGGTCTTTGACTGAGTGACAGCTTCCAGCTCCCCACGCAGACCCTCCTTCTCACAGGACAGCTCATCCACGCGTGCTATCAAGTCGTTTTTCACCACATTCAAAGCATTTCTGAGGACAAATGATCAAATTAGATGTATTCCAATGTAATTATAGCTTTTGACACAAGGTGGCAACACTGCCTTGCTGCTCCAATATGCACCAGGGAGAAAATTACTTTCTTCATGTATTCATGGAAGAGTTTCATGAGCGTATTCTGGAATGGCATCTTTAGAAGTGGTTTAAGTCACCACAATATTGCTATCAGCAGATTTGTTATGCTATTCACTGACAGTGAGGTAGAGCTTCATCTGATAGGCTTAATGGTGTGAATGCTAAGCCTCTGTGTTACTGTATGAAGTGAAGCAGCTGAGCTGATAGTTTAGCTTCTGGCATGCTGAGTGTTAATGCATTACGTGTGCACATAAATTGGAAGTCCTATTCATACTATTTCAGGTATTTTTATTTGGTGTGTTTATTGGACATGTTCATATAACAAATACAAAATAAAATGAAATGAATTTGTCAGCTGTTACTTATACACAAAGGGCAGAGAGCTTTAAAAAGGAAATAAACTACAGCTGTAATAGTGAATACTAACTTGGTCTCCAGCAGTTGAGTGTTCTCTTGGATAAGATGTTCAACTTCCCGACCCATACCTGCAAAATGACCACCAATAATGTAAGAACAAAGCGAGGGATCTCACCCAGCACTCCAGAAGAAAAAGCTAAATATTGAAGAATCACATAAAAAGAAGTGTTTATGTCTATCCTATACACCAACAGTTCTCACAGTCTTACCTAGAAAGTTGTAGTCTGAGGATCATGCAAGAGACAATTAAAGACGCTTCATAAGTTACATGGTCTCATTTTAATATCTCTATTCAAAAGTGTTACTGCTCTACACATCACAGAAGTGTCGTTCTAATCTACTCTTTAAAACTAAAGAAAGTCAGAAAAAGGAAATGAAACTGTGTCGAGAATCAGAAGCCCTTTTCAGAGTGCGATTAAGGAACGAAACTCTGCCGTCATTTAGTCTATTCTTATTGATTCTGCAAACGCTTAAAATTGGCATCCCAGTCTGTGAATTCACATTGTGTTATGGATGACGAGGTGTGTAGAGAATCATCAGTAGCTTCACATATACATAAACTCAGACATGCACACACACAGCGCTGTTCCCTCCCACTGGATCTGCCGATACGGTCTCGCCCCTGTTACTATCTCTGAAGGCGGTACAGAGGGGGAATTATTTCATCCCCCACTTTTCGCCTCCTAGACATTAATAATGAAGGACGGACATCACAGAGGAGTAAATATCACGCTTTCAATGGGCAGTCTGAATAGGGCTTATGACACAAAGGAGGAGGAGAAGAAGGAGCTAACAAAGAGATATCTGGACATACACACCAGAAAAATCATCTGTGAGAATATAAAGCCCGACAGCCAAAGAAAAAAATTATAATTCAGAGAAGGTTGCAGAGGAAGAATAAAGAAGAGACTGTGACAAGATGACAGTATTAGAGGATGCGAGGCTGAGGCAGTTTGAGGATTCTTACCCAGAAGATCCGCCCCCTCGTCCATGTCTCCAATCAGGTCGTTTCCTGCCGACGACAGCTCCTCAAACAGCGAGTCAGTGTTTCGGTCAAACGCTAGATTCTCGATTCCACCTTTAGTTGGAGTGCTGGATGGACAGACACGGGGAGAAAAGAGAGGGATCAAACTGGTTTTACAATGAAGTCATGATATTGAATTCATGTCAAACAAGACTTTTACTACTTCAACTTTGATACAAACACATTTCACTTTAAATGCCATTAAAAGGCACAATCTTTCCAGTCGAGTCACCATCTTTTAAATTTTTTTTATATATCTATATGTACGGATGAAAGATAGATCTAAAAAAGATATCAGCCTGTATATCAGTATCGGATTTCTTTCTCTTTCTAATATCGAGATCGTATCAGCACCAAAAATCTTTGATTGGTCGGGCCCTGCTTTCAACATAAAGCTGGCCACATGTTGTTCAAAGCGTTGGCTAGAAATACTGTTTAAAACTGGTCACCAGAAACACAGCAGCAGAATGGGTCCCAGAAAATTAACTACATTTTCAGACCAAGACAGGTGAGGGGGAGGGAAAATCTGACAGAGTATGATCCATTTTTGCAGCAAATCTTTTCTTTTCATAAGATTAGTTGTAAGGATGAAACAAATGAACCCATCCTGCCTAATGATTATCCTATAAAAGAGAAATAATGAGAATTGTACCTTGTTCCTCGGCAGCCATCAAGGTCCATGTCCAGCTCGGGAGTGGACTCTATGATGGCCTGCACCTCAGACTTCTCCAGGTCATCAGCTCCATCTGGTTTAACCATCAGAGATACAAAACAAGAGAGTAAGCAAGCTTGTGCACTCCAGCGGGGGGTTGAAATGTCTTGTGGTTAACTCTACCAACTATCCCCTTTGAGGGGTGAAGGACCTGACCATCATGCTCAAGCTTACCCTGCTGTCCTTCTTGCACCGCTGCAATGTTCTTACTGCTCTCTGGTTTCCCGCTGGTCCTATCCAGGTTCTTATTGAGTCCTTCTGAACCTCCCTGTTCCTGCAGGGGCGTGTCCACTGACTCCATGGCGACATCAGAAGCATCAGTAGACTCTCCGCTATGAGGAGACTGTGGTGTGGTTGACTGAGAGTTAGCGCTGAAAGTAGACGACAAGGTGTTGGCTTTAGAGGTGCCGCCCTGAGAGGCCATGTTGGATTTGGATTCTCCACTTTTGGAGACACTTCCCTGGTTGGTTTGGGTACCGGACTTGGCACCTCCACGGTTAACACCTGCCAACTCATCCTGAAGATGGAGGAAGAGGAAAGCAAAGACAGAACATTAAAAAAAAATGTAAAGGAACAGCAATGCATATCCATCTCACATACAAATATGGTCACTTCATTCTCTGAAAAAACAACAACATGTCAGCAGCCAAATTAAAAACCAAAGGTTTAAAAGTGCATTCTTCAAAACAATTAGTAACATGAGTGTAGTTTTCTTATTAACAGCCTTTGAATAACAATATGATCGACGTGATTTTAACACACTAATATTGTAATAATGTATTTGTTATACTCTCACACACTTAGCTGTATATACAGGCACTGTGAGAACAATTAATAACAGAAAAATAAAATCTCTCCATCCCGTCAAAGCAATGGCAGGAAACACTTTATCAAGGTGATGATCAAGGTTAACTTATTGTAATTTGATTTAGAGCTCGACCGATTAATCGGCCGATATGAGCTTATCCAGTGAGCATCGGTATCGGCTAATTTTATCGCAAATATGCAGCAATATTAATGGATTTATTCAGCAGTTAAATAGCATTTAATTTGAGTATAGATGGTTTACACAAGCAGTTCTCTTTCACCAGCAGAGGGCGCTGTATGGAGTACAACAAACATATCACTCTCGTGTCAAGCGGTGATGCACAATCATGGACAGTTACGTTCCAGTTGAGTGACCATCTTGTCTACGTTATATATCTTGTTGTGTTTGAGGGATCAACACAATAAATGTGTAAATTATTTTTTTCTCTACAGATTTCAAAGATCTAAGAAAGATATCGGCTGATATATTGGTATCTGATTTTTTTCCCACTGGATATCGGTATCCTTCAGGCCCTAGTTTGATTGCATTGTTTTTGAGCAGAGCCATCTTCTGTCCTGCTCCACTTGCTAGCTTTTTCCAAATTTTTCATCCATGAACTTCTAGAATGGCCTTATATGACAACTTTGAAAATACAATCACTAGCTCAGGAGAAGTAATTAAAGGAACCTGTGCTTTTTGTCTTTCAAATGTATTGCAAGACAATTTTTTTGCACTTTGCTGTTATTGACGGGGCAGATGAAGTGAAACATGATATGTAAGACGAGATGGTCGGGCAGACATGGAGAAAAGGGCTGAGGGTAGGGACTCTGTCTCATACAGTAGCTTCAATGCAAACTTTTACTTATCTCTCTGTTGACTAAACCAGCACATCAATCTGGAATACTATTTAAACAACATCGAGCCAGGCACTACATGTAAGCACCAACACAGTCTAGAAGAGTGAATTTTTTCATGCAGCTAACACTGATCAGACAAAAACATGCAACCAGGACACACCACATTTCACTTTCTAGCAAAACAATAACTTGTTAAAACACAAAAAGCACAGTCTACACACATATTGTCATCAACTAAATGACATAATTTCAGTTATTTATTTTGGCTATTCTGCTTTTATCACACCACAACAGTCAGCAGAACAACCACTGAACAAGTTAGGCAGATGCTGTTGTTAGATTCTCTCTTGGAGGTCTACCTGGTCCTGATCCTTCACACTTTCATTCTCCACTGTGATAGGGGAGACTTGCTCCTCAGGCTGAGGGATATCAAAGATCTTTTAGACAATAATACAAATGAAACCTACTCTAAGATATGTCCCATTTCTATGTATGCATGAACAAGAACAGAATGAAGTATTTTCCATCAGATCTGACTGGGGACCAACAAAGGAGAACAACGCTGTGGGAAAAGCCTGAACTCCATGACAACTCTGTCTGGAGCAGTATTTATGTCGTCTTCTGGCAGACAAGGTAAACCGCTTTCTGTGTAAATGAATGAAAATCAAATTGATTTGTAGGACCAATCAACCCTGAGGGAATTAATCAGGTCTTAGCAGCTCCATGCGGCGTGCAGAATTTCTAATCCTGTATTGTTTTGATTCTGTAATTCTAGCGGCTTCGGTTCTATATATAGCACAGTGCCTGATGGAAACAAATCAATCAGGACAACAACAATGCTTCCATACTGATCCCTGGGTCACCTTGAAAACAGAAGGGGGGGTTGCAGACTTTCAAAAACACAGAGGAGACTTGAAGCCATCTCAGACTCTGAAGAAAGTGACGTTAAGCAGTAGTTTATTCAAACTGTTTGGTTCTCTTAAAGTCATCCCAGCCTCTGTGTGTCTATATTGATGGGAGGATATCCCCTTAAATCCCTCGTATGAATCTGCTCCACTCTTTTGTTGCTATAGTAGCACTGAGCAGCCAATAGCGGGTAAGCTCCCCTCTGCAGCAGCTCTGCCGATAAGGACTCTTACACTACGCTCACATTTTTGTTTTCCAGACACACACCAAAGAGCAGATGTTGAGAGGGAAGAATCATTAAGTGCAAATCTTTGAAATATCAGAGGCCGAAATCCTCAAATACTCTTGTGTAACTGTTCTGGGAGTGCCTGGTAAGACTGATTGACACATCCACAGACTGCTTTAATTTACACTTACGGTATATTTAAAACAAAGCTTTACACATTTTGGTGTCCAAATTGACAAACAGTACAAAGTGGAATGCTTCAGCCAGCAGTCAGGCTAACATTGCCAGATCATAATACGTCCACTTACAGTGCTTATGTGTAAAAATCAAGATTCTAAACTTCTGAGATTTTAAATATACTAAATTCGATTTTTTTTTTTTTTTACTAATCAGTGACTCTCTGCTGTGCTAATGCTAGCTCTTTAACTCAGTAGAATGCCAAATGGAGAAATTCAGTCAGTCTCACAGATGACTGGAGTAGATCCTGAAGTATTTACCAATTCAAAAATAGACTTTGAATCATTAATTATCCAAAATCTTTTGAATCTAAAATAGATTCTGAACATAATATATAATATAATTGTGAGACACCCAAAGATTCCCAGCCCTAAGTGCTGATTTTGTCCACTGACAGGATCAGATTATTTTTTCGTTTTGTCTTATAAAGCATTTGACATAAATATTTTTTGTTGAGTTTAAAAGTACATACTTAATCGTCATTTACACGTCTTAAATCTAATGTAATACTGGGCTCAGACTTGACAATAAAAACAGAATACCTCTTACCTCCTGTTTCAATATGTTTCAGGGCTTACATTTAAAAGAACCTTTATTGTCCATAAAGGTTCATGAAACAACAAAACACAAACCCTTAAAACATGCATCGAAATGAAGCATACTCAATTCTAAACCAATCCTCAACTCTTACGATGTCCATGTGACCCTGTACTAGTGTAATAACAGCAAATGAATACTTATTAGGAGGTCGTTAATATTCATGATAGAGCCTTGCTGGCAGCATGGTAGCCAACAGCAACAATGAGAAGACACTCTGTCCTTTCCACCCTCCTTTTAGGTGAAAGGCAGGCCCCCGAATGGTACCACTTCCTCTGCTTGCCGGGCTCCAAGCCACCCCGTTACCCTGACACACACAAACACACACACACATACATACATACACACTAACACACACTCACACAAGCTGTTAAAAATTCTGGACACACCGAACAATCCTTCCTCTCTGAATGGAAATGTACTCTTTCTTTGGTGTTCGCTGGCATTGGGTATTTTGTTTCCACAACCTGTTCTAAGTGAACTTGGGATGATGTCATCAGCATGATCCGTGGGAAGCTCTGCTGGCCAACTTCAGACGATAACTTTACACTCTATTACAAGTGATGAAAATCTCTATTGTATATGTATCATGGTTACAAAGGCAGGACTGATTGGTGTGAGTGAGCTGTGTTGTCGTTCACGTCACACCTCGAGGCTGGTGTTGGACTGCGGATGGCTAAGGTTGTTGAATCTCCATGGTTCAGAGGAGGTGTCCACAGGTTCCCTCTGGAGGTCAGGGGTCATACCATCAGTCCCAGGAAGTTGGAATATGCCCATGGAGATGGGACGCTCCTTCCTGGATACAAAGGCAAACAGAAGAATGGTTTAAAAGAGAGAGGACATTTGTATTGATATTTTTGTTAGGATGCTCTTATGTAATACCAAGAGGTGTTAGCCTTCAATGGTACTCTGTCAGGCTGAACTTTGGCATAGTGGAGTGACAAGCTAAATGCTAATGTCTGCATGTTATCAAACCGATGTTAAGCTACTAGAATATTTCGCACGTTCACAATCTTTGTCCAAATATGTTGAAATCTACAATTCAGCACTTCACAGTTTTTCTGAGAATGAATGTAATGTTAGCTTCACAGTTCTGTAGGTATAAAACAAAGTGTTATTTTGAATTCAGAAACATAAAAGTCCAATTTATTAAGACATTTTACTTTAAAGTTTTCAAATGAATTCAGGGGATCATCAAAGTCAGTTGTAAAAATGAATATAAAAACACTTTGAGCCCTCGTGTAGAAGTTGGAAGATGCCAGTTGATAGGTTAAAACTTTGACCAGCTGGTTAGTTGTGTAGGAAGTTATTGAGACACTCGAGTGTCTTTTGATGCTTTAATGATAAAAAAAAAGAAGTTATTAGATAAAAAGTTTACACCTCTAGAGTCGTGTCAGTTGTTCAGTTCTCTGTTAAGATAAAATAAGAGAAAGATAAGATAAACCTGTATTCATCCAACAACAGAGACATTTACAGCATCATAGCAGCAAAGAGCAAGGATATCCAAAAAAAGATCATAAAATGCAGGGGTGCCGGTAACCTAGTGGTTAGTGCGCACGCCTCATGTACAGAAGCGGGCTGCCCAGGTTTGAATCCCGGCCTGTGGATCTTTTCCCGCATGTCGTTCCCCACTCTCTCTGCCCGGTTTCCGACTCTATCCACTCTCTTATCTCTAAAATAAAAGGTATAACAAGCCCTAAATAAACCTTTAAAAAAGCATGCACACAGTGCATAATTAAATAAACAACAAAAATAGTTGAGGAGCCAAAAACAGAGCTGCAGTTGTTAGATATGTAGTCTGAAAGTTCACACTGAAGCCCTAACCACTGGAAAGATATTCTATGTGAATCTTCCAATCCATCAGAACAATTTTTGATCTTTTGGGCCATTTCAGGACAGCTGAAGAGAGACAGGATATTTTGGGAGGAGAGAGTGGGGTATGACGAGCAGAAAAGGGCAGGGGAATCGAACCAACAGCCGCTGGGATGACGACTTTTGCCACCGTAGGCGTGCAACATCAGATTTTTTTTTTTATTGATATTTGGCATCAGTAATTCAGTAACTGTATCATACGAGTCTGGAAAAATCATGACATTTAATGGACAATAACTGCCAGGGCCTGAAATCAAATAATTACTTTAGTAGTAAAGGAAACCTTTGAAAAGGGAAAGCAGCAAGGGCAAGAACATGTGATTTATACTTGGCAATAAAGTGAGGATGGTATGGGATATATTTCAGACTGTATAAAGCAGGTTGGACATGCTTTCATTGGTTTGAAGAGAATGTAATGTTAAGAGATTAGTTTTTATGTAGCAGCTTCTGTTTGTCACACTGCCTGAAGACCCTCCGTTTCCTTCTGCTATTCTGAATGAGTAGGTTTCTAATGTTTCAGCCTGTATTGTAGGTTTTCCATTCTTGAACGTGAACTGGAAGTGGATCAGAAGGAAAGAAAAAAAAAAAATTGTGTGACATCGTCAAGTCCTAGTCAAGACTTCACACTGAGGTGTTGCTGCAAAGATTCCCCCGACACAGCTTGACCCTGAAGTTGTGGGGAGAGAAATAAAGCTGCTTGTCTCATAAACTCCATTACCTCCCACCAACTAGCTCAAGCAATAACACTATCCATTTGTATCTGACACCTTGCAGATATACAAGGCCATATTTATTATTAGAAAGAGGTCAGCTTCGTGTCCCTACACAGAAGCATCAACGATTTATAAATGAATATATTTGATGGATGGATGTACACAGATGCAGAAAATACAGCTCTGACTGACTGCAGAAAAAGTTTACTTTTCTCTCTTGCTTTGTTCACACTTTAATACTAGACAATATCCTGAAGCTACATTTTGTAAAAATCAGAATGGATAACAATTAAGTTGAAAGTAACTCCTGTATTTTGAAACACACAGCTCTATGTTTTATGTGTTCATAGATAAACTTCCAGTTTACAGCAGCTCTGAGCATATGAAGCCCAATGATAAATCGGCAACAATTAGGAACACACTGAAGTAAATACACTGGACCCTCTGTTACACCAGTTACAAACCAGCAGCTCTTCTCAGATATATTGTATTGGGAGAGCAGAACAATGGCGGCCCCAGTGAAAAGAGAAGCCGGCAGGCAGGGATGAAAAAACAGCAGCCCAAATACAATGGACACACCACCATATTGGGGAGGAAGAGGTCACATGCAGGCCACTGATGGTCACCATTGCAGTCTTTTGTTGTATTTGAGCTGAGTGGTGAAAGAATCTAACACATGGCCACTATCAGTCCTACTATTTTATAAAGAGGTGTGAGAGTTTATTTGGTTATTAGAAAATAATCATATAAACTCTCGTAAGGTGGATGTTACGAAGGTGATGCTGTCTTCCAGGTATGACTCTGCCATTTTTCACATCTTTCTTGACCTACTTTTAGCATGCAGTCTCATACTGTCAGACTATTACACACCCACATGAGAGAAACACTGCGACTGCATGGCTACCAGCTGGTACAGAGCAGCTAGGTGGATACAACTGAATAACACAAGTTAATATAAAACGCACACAGATACACAGAATACCTGCAGAGTCTGGGTAAGGAAGGTAAGGGAGGCAGGGCAGGTAGGCCACCAGTGGAGACAGAGTAGTGAACCAGCAGCAGCACCGACAGAGAGACCAGTACAGCAGAGTTGATGACCACCGCTCCTCCAACAAAGCCAAAAACAAACAGCAGCATACACCCGGGGCTCATGGCCCCCCCAAATGATGGCCCAGTGCCTAAACAGGGACCAGAAGGTTTGGGGGGCACAGATGATGACAGCAGATAAGGTGAGCGTCACTGAACCATCCAATTGGCAGACCTCTGATTGGATATCACCCTCTGTAAGTTCATGCACGGCTGATGTCAAAAAAGCTGTATCCTTGTAGCAGTAGTGGGCTCTGTAAACTGCAGCTCAGTATTGAAGCAGACACAGAGCAGGTCAGAGGCAGCAGCAGTCACAACAACAGTAATCCCGGTGGCATCAGCAGCAGTGACTGATTAAAGCCGAGCAGCAGCACACTCTCCCAGCTGGGAGAGGCTGGAAGCTGCAGCAGCAGCAGCAGCAGCAGCTCCTCTCCACCAGTGTCCTCCTCTAGCGGGTGATTCTGTCTTCCTCCTCCTTCGCTCTTCCTTTTCTCCGCTGAGATGAGACGCGGCTGCTGCTGTGCAGTCTAGAACACTCTGACGCTCTCCCTCTCTCACTTCGGTAGCAACCAACAACCCTCCCTCTCTGTCTCACCCCATCTCTCTCCCTCTCTCTCTTTTGGATGCTGAGGCAGCTCGTTCCATATGCCTCCACTCAGGCTGCAGCTTATTGGCTGCAAAACGGGGAGACTGATTAAAAGTGTGAGTGAGTCAGTGAGGGGAGGGGAGGGAAGGAGGGAGGGAGGGAGGGAGGGTTGGCAGTGTGTCTTCTTTTACTAGAAGAGAGTGAAGGGCTAAGATATACAGGATGCTGCCTGAATACACAAACACAATACATCGTAATACAATGTGCAGTGCCATTCTTATTAACACTAATCACACCTCCTGGACTTAACAAAAGTGAATAGTATATACTGGAATACATGTAAAACATGAAACAAGGATCTTCAACTTAAAGGGGCATGTATATTTATTATTGAATTAGAATGCAGGTATGTTTAAACATTGGCTCTATTTGTTACATATTTGGGGGTCCTTTATAAAACATTCTTTTAAGATCAACTATATGCAACTTTTCCCCCTTTAATCTGTGGTTTCAAAGGTCGACGTAATAGCACGATAACTTTCGACATGACGTTTCTTTCATGTCTGATCGCATTAAATTCAGTGTGTGACTTTGGCAACGGGCGGAGGTTATCTCAGGAGAAGTGCCTACAGCTTTACAGCACTAGTTCACACACAAGCCTTCGGTTATTAAAAGAAGCCAGCCAGCCCGTCTCTGTACGGGTTGATAAAATGGCTGAGGCTAAGAGGAAGAGGATGGTGACTGATGAAGTTACGAAGATAAAACAGTTACCAAGCAAGACGCTCAGTGTACACTCCTGCAGATGTTAATCATAACAGAAGTGGAAGTAACATGTGGCTGTATTGTTATTGGTGTAATCGTTGTCTCATGTTTAGCATCTTTAAACCCAAGTTATGTCTCAGGTTTGCATACATTCAGTAAATTAAGACTTTAAATTAAATTTAACACCAAAAACTTGTCACTGTCCTTGTCGACCTTTAAGTTTGCTGTATAAGCTTCGAACCTTACAAATCTACTTCAACTGTCCAATGTAGTCATTTAGCTGCAGCCCATAGATATCATGAAAACAGTTCAATAAACATAATTCACATGAAACAACATATAGTTACTTTAAAACAAACAGTAATTTCATCTTGCAGAACATTGTTTACGTCAGATTTAATGCTTAGCTTGATTTAGTTGTTTGGGAAAGAGTCAAAAGCCACAGTAACAGCTAACTTGTTCTGTCAACATAATACTCAAAATGAAAATAATAAATAGAGGATTGCTATGTGGGCCACTATCTTTTTAAAATACTCTAACGACAGAGACAGGGACCTATGAAACGTGCGTCTCTATCTGGCCAATCACAGCTTACAAATGACAGGTTGTTGATAAGTGCAGCGGCTGAAAACAATCGTCATCTAAATACCATGCCATTATATATTCACTGTTCAGCTGGCCTTGCCCACAGAGCTTACGACATGGAGGTACGTAATATGGCAAAGAGAAACTGCTTTGACCTGGAGAGTGACACCATAACAAGAGAAGTAGAGCCGTATAACATTCTGTTGTTTGGTCTGAAAAACGGGATTAGAAGGAGTCAGAAAAAAACACGTCCGAAGGGAAGAAAATCTCAATATTCAATTTACACATGGGTGATATATAACTTGTATAGTCTAAGCTATAAAATAACGACAGCCATTTTTTTTTAACCTGAATGTGAAGAACTAAGAGAGCTTAAGATCGCAACAAAAAAGCGTGTTGGGGCTCTTAAAAGAAGCAGCCCCCATATTGGAGGAGGTCAGCCTGAAACTGTCTCAGACCGAGGAGCAAGTGGATGTACTGATCAGTACGTCCTTAATATCAGGCATGATCTAAGAAGTTTCCAGCACAGCCTGATTTGTCAACATTGACTTGAAAATGGAAATATACGAGCTGAGACCTGGCATGGGATTTAAGCATATCCTCTACTCACATCCAGACTGTGCCAAACATTGTGTGGAAATGACTGTACAAACCAGTCTTCTGTCATACATATGTTTGATAAATGAGGGTCACTGTCTTTATCTGATTTACCGTCTTTTTTTTTTTACATGTTATTTGCAGTTGATGATCAACACAGAACGCAATACTGTTACAGTATATAAATAGGCTGTCTGGTCAAAAAGCTGCTGAGCTGCAGGCCTTAATCACACAGCCACAGCATCCTTTATCTGTCCAACTGAAGTCCATTTCATTTCCTTCCTGCAGTTTGTCATGACAGACTCCCCTGCTTGCTTACTTATTAAAATGTCCTTTCAAAATACTCAACATTCTTTGTACATCCAATATCTTCAGTTTGTTGTCTTTTTGCATGCTTTAGCACTCTGCTTTTTACTATACTGTGTTTTTCATTATTTGCTCGATATCTTTGTTGAGACAGGCTCTCTGACTACTTCTGCTTCTTGCAGACACAGACTGTATGTGTGTGGGAGTAGAGCTTGAATTCGTTAAATCTGTATCAATATAGGACCTGGAAACTCTGCCTGAAGTCTTCAGCCCTATGACACATCACAGATATACAATGTATATGTGACATTGTTAGACACGCACTACACCTGCACTGGAGTCAATTAGGACTGAATATTTATTTCAGTTTGAGTGAACACACTTATGTTGAAGTTGAAGTTGTGTGGTTGGTTGTCTCACCGTGTCCTGGCTGAAGTGTTCGTGCTCGTGCCTGGGTCTGAGGTGTCTGCTGGGGTTACTGTATGCTGGTGTTTCGTTCTCTCCAGATGTTCCATGTAGCTGTGGATCATCTGGAAGATAGGATGCACAGAGTCATGATAACACTAGAGTAAAAATGTGACAAATTCTGTGTACTCTTGCATTTTATACATTACACTCTACATTGTATTTATAGTCCTGTGAAGAGTTTTAATAAAGTTACAAAACAGAAATATGGATGTTCCTTTGTGACTCAAAGGAGAAAACAAGACCATCAATGACAAGAAGTATAGTTTTTAAGCTTTTAACCACTGGTGCGGAGTTAGTACCAGTATGCACCTGAAACAGCCTGTGTTGACATTTTCTACTGAAAGGGTTCACCGCGAGTGATACTGTTGACTGTTAAATGAAAGCATGATGCGTTGTTTCAATAGAAAACATGAATAGTGCTTATATGGGACACAATCACTCGAGAGATAAAAAAGTATTACTTTATCCACAGGGGTTGCCAAAATCAACACAAACTAAAAGTTCCCATTAGCTTTAATAACCGATGACAAAGACTGTTACGGCCCCAGCCACACCCCCTCTCCTGTGTTTGTGACTGACCTCTGATTTGAAGTGCCTGTGTGTGTGTGTGTGTGTGTGTGTGTGTGTGTGTGTGTGTGGTGTGTGAATTCTCAAGGCCTGTTTTCGTTCACCTGTTCTGCCTGCTGGTAAAGCTTGATTGGAACACAGCTGCAGGAGGCATTTAACCAATCAGAGGACAGTCCTGCGGCCACACACCTTTAAGAAGCTTGGTCAGCCAGCAGTCGGGGCAGCTTAGCTGTTTTCAGCTCGCCACTGTGACTCTCTGTCTTTCGTCTTTATGTGTTCTATGAACTCATTGTCTTTTGTCATTTGTGTTCTGTGGTACTCGTTTATGTTGGACTTGGTCATGTTTTAGTTAGACTTAGGGATGCTGTTAATTTGTTGTTTAATTTGGTTAGTTAAGTGTAGTTAGGCTTTATTTTCATTTCTTTTCACTGATTAGACTTGGTATGTAAAACAGTTGTTTAGAGTCCTTCTGTTTAACTCAGTTATTGATTTGAGCAGCACTCGTTGGCCCTTTCAGTTGCCTCACTTTTTGTTATGTATCAACTTTGCTTCTTTTGTAATAAATAACTTTAATTTACCAACATCATCTGGTTTATGTTGCCTCCCTGTTCCCCAACGAGCTGGGTCGTAACAAAGACTTTAAGAGAAGTCTGTCAGCATTAACTAGAGCCCGACTGATGATATCTGCCGCTGTTAGCATATCATGTGACAATCGGTATCGGCTCATTTATACTCCGATATGTGCAGATATTTCTAATTTAAGTTTATTATTTATTTTCACATAGTTCATATTTATAATTGTTCATTACTAAGTAAAAATAAGTGTTTGAGTGCACTGTTGTTATTCTGGCCAATAAATGCATTTGAGGGATCACCGCAATAAATGTGTTTTTATATATGATGTCATGTTGTGTACTGATGTCATGTTGTGTACAGATGTTAATCAATGTCTAAAGATCGACAATAGCTCTAAGACAGATATCGGCTAATATAGTGTCAGTATCCCATATCGTTCTAGCCCTAGAAGTAAGCCTGCAAAAAGAATGTCAGGCAACAAAGCGGTCAGATAACACTAAACTTTATTTCTATGCAAGTTGTTGACTATTCGAGATGATCTATGATGATTCACTACACACTTGAAACAGTGGGTGTCAGTATACACTCTTTAAAATGTTAAAGACCTATCGCATGTTTTCCATCTAACTTAAGTTGGATTTTTTTTTCTTATTCTTGCCAAGTGAAATCTACATGTTCTGTAAAAGGAATGTTCTGTACAGCACCAGAAGTAAAGGCTGAATTTTTTGTTATATCAGGAGAGACTTCGGTCAAAATAAATAGGAAACAATCGACATATCAAGCATCTGTAAAATCTCAACAGCGTGTAGCCCTAGTCATTACTCTGGTCACTCACATATGAAGTGTACTGTATTGTGTCCTGACACAGCTGTGACAGTCAGTCTATTAATAAAGGTGTGTGTGTGTGTGTGTGTGTGTGTGTGTGTGTCAGCTTTTATTAGACCTTCATCTACTCTATTCAACATTACTCATGTCAGCTGTGAGCTGCTGAAGCCTGAGAGGCTTGTTTGGACACAGGGGCATCTGTTCCTGATGCTCCGTGAATAACAGATCAGGGCCGACCAGAAGGTCGACAGACGCAGAAATTATGTTGTGAACTTTGTGTATATTTAATCATCCTCAACTGTCCAACCCTTTTTTTGTTTTTAGTTGCTCTTTCTATCACTCAGAACCTGAAAATATAATATACCACATATATAGTTGGATATTGTGTGTTTATTGCTGATCTCAAACATTTGTGTATATTTGTAACTCAGAAGAGCATACCTCAGTGTGTCTCTGATGGAGAGTGTTATACTCCTTCTTGAGCTCTGCTTCTCTCTCCTCAAATCTGCTAACTACAAAACAAAAGACATCATTAGTACATTTGATAAGAAAGTAAAAATTAACAGGGTCTTCACATTATAAATGGTTCTGTGTGAATTAGCTAATGTCCATTTATAAATTCTTTGACAAATTAAAACTATTTGACAAATTCCCGACAGAAATGAAGTTTTGATATTCAAAGCATTTTTGATAATTTGTCAAGTGAATCCGTTGCATCTAATGTGGTCTTAAAAGGTTTGCTGCAATAACCTTATAGCGCCAGAAGAGGGCCACCATGCATCAACAAGCCCCTTCTGAGCTGAAACAGAGAGATATGAAATTATCATCACTACTCTTTAAAGCTATTTTAAAGCTTAAACACTCAACTTAACATGGATGCAAAAACACAGGGCAGTTTCTGGATTCATTTTTATAAAAGGTCTAAAATGTTCATAGCTTCAATTTAACATCATTGGCTGTAATAAATGTCCAAGTTCAAGATTTTAAATGGCTCTTTCTCTTTTGAAACATAAGAAATCAAATATTTTATTAATGAAACTGTCAAATAGCTCACTAACAGGTAAAAAAGGTTAAAAGATGTACACACCAATCTACCGAGCAACCACCACCTTCCTGTCAGCGACACTAAATATCCATCGTCTGAAGCTCTTAGTCGGCATTCGTTTGTAGACAAAATAGCCTGTAAGTCTTGTGTGTTTTCAGCTGCCAACCAAGCAAAACGCCCTCAATTAAGACAATTAATGTCAACTGAAAATCCATAAAAGTGCTCGTGCAGTGAGCTTTGGCTGAGATCAGATGCCACCCATTCACAGATGCTTTCACACTTGATGCATCGAGTCAAAAATAACAGTTTTTCAGGTGTTCAACAAGCACTTGATCAGTGAAGAGTGATAGTTCAGAGAGCAGCTGCGCATACGATGCAAACTGTGATTTGTGTGGTTGTGAGAGAGCTGAAAAAGAGGAAGTAGTGGGTGAGATGTTCATCAGAAATAGCCCAGGTCTGATACAAAAAGGTGTAAAAAAGGAAGTGATCCTAAAGGAAAGCCCCAGATGAAAAGCCTGAATTAGAACGGATCTTTCCTTCAAGAATACAACAAAATAACGAGTGAATCAAAAAGTTGAGGCAAACCTGTAGGCCTGCACATTTAATCAAAATATTATCAAAATAGCAAATTCTCAAAGCGCGATGTCCAAATCTCAAAGACAACATTTTTTTGAAAAAGGAAAATTTGTGATGAAACATCATTGAAAAATTAATTATAATTTTAGGTTTTTTTTCAGGGTTGAGATTAACAAATCCTGCAGAGATATGTCAACATAATGGTTTCATATGCTGTTCAGTGAAAATTTAAAAATGTATAGGTAGATATCATTCACTAATAGTGAAACTTTGCAAAGTAATCTGATTTATATTTGCACCGGTACTTCATGGAGCACAATCTCAACAGGGGATTTTGGGTGCGGCAAACCTGATTCAACAAATTAAAAAACTTGATTCAGAGTATTTCTTATCATCGGAGTTTGTTTTTAGAAAGAAGGAGGAAGTTAAGTCCTCATTTCCTACAGCCTGAAACCTAAAAATGCCAAAATCTCACTGCTGCTAATTTGTTGAACAAACATAATCAGAGACAAATGAAACAGCTCAACAGAAAAAGAGGAAGTTTCACACTGAAGGAAAGAAAAATACATTTTCTAGAGCTCTCAAATTTCCCCTTGATATAAACGATGTGTATGTATCGGCCCTGTGGAGGAACACAAAGCAGTCACACGCGCTGTCAACTGCACAGTCATGCACACGTCATGTGGATTTCTTCTGAGGCCTGAAAACACGACCACACTCTCAGACTTGCAGGGTCATTCTGGTGTTTTTCAACGTGGGCTGTTTTAACATTATTTATGGTTTTACATCAGTGTGTTATACTGATCATTTATTGGATCAGAACAAAGCATTTAAAAACACCACCACCAACACGATAAGACCAACAGTCCAACAGGTAATGCAGCTGCAGAACACAAACTATTGAAATTATTGTTTTCGCCCATGCAGTCTGGTGGCTCTGACGAGGGCTATATAAAAGCTGGTTCGATAAAAAAAAAAAAAAAAAGATCCTACCTCTACCTGTGACAAAAGACTTAAAGTTTGAATGGGCGTTTTCAACCTTAAGGAGCCATTAAAGCTAATTTATGGATTTCCAGCTGAGACAATCTATTACAGTAATTTGTCTGTCATTTGGATCCCAAAGTCACTAAAATAAGTTAAAAAAAATATCAGCAAGGCGACACATGCTCCGTAACATTTACAATGTGTTAAGACTTCAGAAAAAAGACTAAATAAGTAACCATTAAGTTATTCCTGGAGGTGCATTTAGCAGTCCTTAATCTAGTTATGCAGAATCTGAATGCCCCATAAAAATGTGTTTCCTAGATAGAGTTATTATGTTTGTCAATGCCTAAGCTCCATAGATCCTCCTGTTATTCACTTAAGCTTTCTGAGCTTGAAACATGTTTGGTCTATTCAATTACAGCTCATTTAGCAGAATTGGCAGGCAAACACTCGTATGTTTCTAATGGCCTTTATTTAGTAACAACATGGCTGACCATCTGCCCTCTGGCACATCAGGCTAACAAACCATCACAAGACCTGCAAACGGTCGATGCTATCAGGCCTGTGTGTGTGTGTGTGTGTGTGTGTGTGTGTGTTAGACTTTCCAATAACACAGCCAGTACAGTCCCTGTAGAGAGAGGTGTACATGTGATGGACTTACTTTGATCTGCATAGTTCTTTGTTTTTAGCTCGAGCTGGCGTGTGTGTGACTCCAACGTCACCAGTCGACACTGGAGGTCTTTTTTCTCTCCATCCTGGGAGTCTTCAAAGACAATGTACCTCTGCATAAGAAGACACAAAGATAGAAATAACATATCACATGTGATTCAAGAACCAGGGTTCCTACATTTTTTAATTTCCAATTAACATTCTTTTAAAAGGGAAAAAAATAATCTGGACTGGACTTGTTGGATCTTTGTGTCCATACGTGACATTTTAGTTCAAGTTTATCGTGCACATATAAATATTTAAAATCCATCTTTTAGAACAATTCTACAATGCTTATACGATGCTTTTGTCAAAAGTGACGTACATCAGAGAGTAATGCTTCGCTCCATTTTACTCTGAACTCAGGAAAAAACGACCTCCGACTCAGAAAAGTGAAATGGTACGGCCATTCAATTAGAAACTCGGGCGAGATCAATGTAGACCCAGTCGGTATCGCCGTGCACACAGTAACAGGGAAGCAGACACAGAATTTTCGACTTCAGACTTGCAATGGAGCGCAGCATTAGTAAAACACAAGTAAGGATCTAGACAGGAGGAAAGGTCAGTAAGTGATGCAAACAGCTTTAAATCTGATCTGACACACAGGTGCTGAAGTGCACAGAGGTAAAGCATAAAATCGACAGCTGTTCTCTCTAATCAGCATCAAAACCATCCTAAAATCTCCATTATCAAACAAAACCATCGTCATAGTCATCATCATCGTCAGTATCATCAAGTGCGTAGGTGTTTAAAAAAAAGCTTAAGACCCAGCTCTTTCATGAAGGTGTAAAGAAGAAATCTATCATTCTGAGTATGAACGCTATTATGTTGCCATGCTTTATATTTTGTATGGTCAAGGTTACTCTCATTTAAACATACATTTACCTACAGAGGCAAGGTACTCCTATGTGGATGAAAATACCACTCCACTGTGAAACATATCTGCACATAGAGGAGAAAACAAATCAAGATGCCTGTAACTGTGTTATTTTAAATTAATATTCCATTATATACAACTGTTTGTTTTAACTTTTCAATTATCTTTGACTTGAAAAAGGTTAAATGGTTTGATTTTGTGAAATCCAGTTTATTCTGTTTCCATGGAGAGTATGATGAAAAGCAGAGATAGAGGTTTCCTTACACAGAAAGTTTAGATTATTTTTCCGAGAGCTACATCATCCATAACCAATAAACATAAAGATAAGATTAATATTAAGCTATTTCCTAACTTAATGTTCACTGCTTATCATAAACCTATGAGCTGTAAATCTATAAAACTCCCTCCAAGTGAGGGAGTGATGAGCAACAGGAGACAGAAATATCACACATGGCTGTTAGTTCCTCTCTTCAAGTTTGACATCTGCTCAGCTCTGACCTACATCACCATCATCAACATCTTTGATATCACTTCTTTAGAGTGTGGATAAAGAACAGTGAGGGCTGTAATCGAGATGTGTTGGACTAAATCCCGCAGTTGTGTGTGTAATGAAGATGTGCTCCTGCCAGCAGAGTGCATATAGCATCTGTCCTCTGTCCATTGTGAAATTCATCTAACTTCTTTGCACGACAGGTGCACAGCACAGAGGGGGGGAAAAACTGCTACAGCTTTGTGTGTTTGTGCGAGTCTCTGTACTGTGTACCCCATACACACACATACACACACTTCCCTTTCAAGTCAGAATCAGATGGTATCATGTCAAGGTTGTTTTTTCAATCTTCACAGCAGCCTTTGTTGCTAACCTCAGTCATTCTCTCGGGGGATTTCAGACTAAAGACTGTCAATGTTTTCAAATCTGGAGAAACAAATATAACTTCCACTGTGGACTGTGGGTTCAACGTACTGGTCACAGCCACCAAACCTTCTCCCCAAATCAAATCTATTTTTAATTTTGTTTGTGCGAGTCTGTGTATAGACACGCAAATAATTTTTAACAACAGGTCAATAGCTGCTCCCTGTTCGCAATTTCATGGTGTTTTTTAATGAATAAAAACTAAATACTAATATTAACATTACAGATTGAAAATACTGGGGAAGCAAGGAAATAATGATGTGTGGTTTTTATTTCAACAGCAGTAAAAAATGCTCCACAATATCACCCCTGTTCTTACCTTGCCTTGAATCTAATCTAATCTCAGCTCTGAGTTTCATACCAGCTTCAGTTTTGCTCTTTCAGCTCTAATAAGGAATTTTATGTTTGACTTAAAATAGTTTTTCATTTGAAAATGTGAATGAGTTCAGTTACGAAACTGTAAAAATTACATTTATGAGCTGATTCAATTTAAATAATTGAATTACTATGATATCATAAGCGTCTTTGAGTATTTACAAAAGTGCTTTATAAGTCTAATTTATTATTATTGTCTCAGATCAACCACAGATATTCAACATAATCAAATCAAAATCAAATCAGTAAACATCAAAAATCATATCTTCAAACATCGTGTAGATGACGGTCCAGAAAAATAATACAAAATATCAAATTGTGTTTCAACATGCTGTTTACTCCGCCACATGAAGCAATTTTGGCCATGATATCATGACAGTCGATCCAGTGGTTGTGCAGAGATGTCACTGCAAAGTAAATTCAAATAATGTCTTGGTGTTGCACATGGAGAGTCGAGTGATCAAAGTATTTCAGTGTCATTGCATGCGGTACATGAATCACCACCATTATAACATAAGTATGACAACATCATACTGATAGGCCAAACACAGTGTTTCAATAACAGAACTTCCAGCAACCGACCAGGTTAACAACACACTGTTTGAATGAGAATAAAATAGATGAGAATCATATGGCTTTGTTGCTTTCTTGATAGTTTATTTTAAACATCCATTGATGCCTCAGTTGATCAGCTGAGTCAGTTGTCTGATAACAGGCACAGACTTTGCTTTGGCCGTAAGCTTGAGGTCTTGTGATGTTGGTCCTCACATTGGAGAGGAGGCCCTATGGTCAGGCCCGCAGGGAATGGATGTCATCTGAACGATGAGGATCACCTGAGAGCCCACTAACAAGAAGCCTTTTCTCTATACAAACGTCACACTGAGGCTGGAGATTTAAGGTGACTCTAAAAGTGAACTCTGTAGAATTTATGAACTTCAGTCCTGGATTGGATAAAATGTTAGTCACTGCCTTTAGGAGTGATCAACGGGTCGGGTAAAGAACTCAATTGTATGGATGGACATAAAGTGAAGAGTGGAAAGTTGCATTACCGGTATGCGCTTAACAAATAACGACGCCCACCCTACTTGACTTGCTGTACATTATGTTTGAATGTCTTCAATATCTTGTGGCATCTCACAAATAGAAATAAGTTAAATAATCTTTCCCTTGAACTGAATTTGGTTTAGCATAATCAATATTGGTGCCGAATATTGGTGCTTTCTGGTACCTGTACGTGATTGGCCAGTACTGGTAAGCTCATGGACAAAAGGTGCTATTATGAGTATTTACATTAGTCCCTCTTATTCAATGCAGGGCTTTCCATAAGGGGCTGTCAGTCAAACAGCGGGCTATTCACTCGTCAAACCCGCCTCCATATGTGTCTGTGAGTCGAGGCTCAGCTGATAAGGAGACTTCAGAAAGAAAGAAATGTTATTTACTGCACAAAGAAGCTCGTCGCTCCTCGTCTCCTTCAGAAAAACAGAATGACATTATTTTACTGTAAGAGTCTCTGAGGTTACTTAAAGTGAAAATGGCAAATATTTCCACATTGTTTCAATTTAAAAAGTCATTTTAAATTGTAAATGTTTCCTTGTGACATTAACATAAAGTTAATCCCCTTATTGTGGCGAAATGTAAAGTTATATATTTTATGTATTACATTTACACATCTTTAAAGTGATGTGTTTAGTTTTTGCACCAAATAATAAAGAGCAGCGCGTATCGATAAGTATCTGGATCGTTAAGCAGTGCTGTAACAATACCCAGTATACCTACGAGACCCATCCAGGTTTTGGCTTCCATATGTGATATGTCTGGGGCTTATTTGGAGCAAAGGGTGAGGGACTTCTGGGGGGCACAGTGGGGGTCTGAAGGGAGCATCTTTGAATTGAGGTATTGATAGTGATTCAGCATTTGCCATATAAATCTACTTAAGAGCCTGGCTTGACTGCAGACAGCAGGGTTCATAGAGGGGGGGGGGAACCTCTAATCTACACTGGTACATTAACACAACATGAAGACAAGCTCAACAGTAACTGGATTTGTTTTTTTTTGGTAATTTCAAACAGCAGAAAGAAAAAAAACGAATGCATTATTCTCTTTACCCACCAATCAAAACCATTAAAGACTAGCAAACTGGATGGCACATGCTGCTTCGCCCTCATTAGGACATCTCCCAACATCATCCTCTCTCACCCTGCCGCTCATCATATGACCCAAGAAGGAGGCGTGTAGATATGACAGCGCTCCAGAGAATGAGTGTTCCAGCGTTTAACGTGCTCTCTGCACTTTTCCCCCTACACTGCATTCATAATGCTGCCTTTGTCCTTAAGTGCCAACACACACAAACACATGTGGCTCCAGGACAAGTGTGAGCACAGCCACACAGACAGGGCTCCACTGTGTTGGTACTCAATTGACAGAGAGCGAAATCAACTCCTTGCTCTGGCTCCGAGTTGTTGTCAGGGAATTTGAGAAATGGGAGTAAAGTGTTGGCCACAGATGAACTGATGAAGATGCTCCTGCAGTTATCCACTAGAATTATCCATTTTAAATTAAACAGGTGAAGATGGATGTGGCAAACCATGCAACCATTTTGGTACTAAAAATAATCCTATTACAAACAAGTGCTAACTGTGAGTAATCAGAGGCACTCACAACTTGTCATAAATATATTGGCTGGTACAGTGGTTACAGAAAAACAAATTTAAATGGACTTGAGTATATCCAGCAGAAACTCTTTCTGTTCATACCCCACCGATGAAGCAGCAGGGGCAACTTAGGGTTAAGTGTCTTGCCAAAGGACACATCGGACAAGTAGCAGCAGGAGCTGGGGATCGAAGCCCTGACCTTCCGGTTAGGAAACGACCGACTCTACCAACGGAGCCAATGCCGCACCATAACCAGCA